GGTTCCTCATGGCGAGAAGGTCCCAAAAAGGTGAAAAACTAAGAAACGAAATTCTCTGAGCCGCTGCCATTAGGGGATAGTTGTAGATGCCTACCTCCGCCCATTTCAATCCTTCAGTTCGATTGAATGGAGAATCTCTGAAGTTTGAGTTCCATATCAAGCTTGCAGCAGATCTTGCGACAAGATATGAATAGTACTTGGCTCCGTATTGCACCAAGTGATGGAATCTGAGGACAAATGATTACAGAAAAGGATATCCGAGAAATGTCCAAATCAAACCTGTGTTGAAAAGCGGTATCTTTCTCGCGCTCTAAATGAGGAAGTGCCTAAATAAAGAGATATGAAATTGCTACAGGTTAAGTAGTAAAGAATCATACCTTGGTGACAATGCTGTGAAAGAGATCCGTTGTAGTTATTCGATTTTCTCGTATTAAACGAGGGGCATCAGGACCATGAAGTTCCAGATCAAACAAGGCGTAAGATGCCTGAAAACAACATAGGTGAGAATTATAAAACAAATTTACCAATGAAGAAGGAGACCATAACTACCTGTTGCATAATTTCCAAAGAAGAGAAGGCAAATCGTGATGCGATCATGCAAGCAGCATCTTCCACTTCTATGCATTCACCACTCGGACTTCGAAGAATCGACTGCATAACCTGTTTGATTGTGTTTTTTACGATGATGGACTGTGACATAGCAAAAAAATGTAAAATAAAAAACTGTTGGGTATGCTTACCGACAAGTCATTGAAAAAGTACTCCATTAGAATAGATGGAACCTCCGAAAAATCTTGTGGACAACGGGTACCTTTAGAAAGAACTCGTAATCCAGAAGTATGCAATCTAGTGAAAGCGCAAAACTTCACCTGCTACATGTTGATATCTTGTTCGTCCTAGCATACTATGCATTGCATGTCCCAACTCATGGAAAGTGTTTTCAGCTTTATGTAGATCGATCTAAGAAAATAAAGAGTAAGAGATAAAGAAATCGATACAGACAAGTTGAAATCAAATATAAAGCAAAAGCGACAGCGGGTGGTGCTTCAAATGTACTCACCGAAAGGTCTCGCCATGATCCATTGTAGTTTTCACACAGTGAAAGGGACAAAACGAC